AACCGCCGACGGCTATAGAGGGGAAGAAATACGAAGTAAAAGCTCGAATCGCTCCATCCAGCTCATTACAGCTCGTTTTCTTACTGGCACTGAATGTAACAGTTGCTTAATCTGAAACATCTGATTTATTACTACTGACGAGCCATCTGTAAGTAATCTCGACGGCTACAGCTCTTAAGTTGTTATGTTTTTATTTGAGAATCATGAATTCTTTAAAACCCTGTTTTAATTTAAGTAAATACTGTTTAAAGTAATTTTAACCGCAACGATAAATGCTAAAGCGGTATGTATATTTATTTAGGTTTGTTAATGCTTTAGCAAAATCATATTTTGTTTTATGAACAAAATATATGTACCGGGTGAAAGAATAAATAAAACACACCAGAGAACATTGCTACATATTTCAGTTATTCTAACACTGTGCGCTCTCAACGACGAATGCAATATAATCCCAGATATTGTCATCCTCCTTGAATACGTAATGGTGTGATTTGGAGCCGCGACGCTGCTTCAACAGATTTTCTTGACGTATATGACGTAGTTATGAGACATAAGTATTAAGAGGTAATATTGTACTAACCGTAACAGCTATCTAGTTAGAGTCTTACTACCTTGCAAGCTGACATCAATTTTTTTCTCAACGTGTAGTAGTAGGGCAGTGAAATTTAATGATCACTCAATTAAAAGAGATTAAGAAATTAATGAAAACGTATTTTGATAACGTAATTTTTAGGAGCCATTTAAATCTATTCTAATGTCCAATGATTTATTTCCTTTTATCACCCGTCACCGGTTTCAGAATACTTGACAATGGCTTTCAGTACTTTACCTTCTCAGTAGTTTTATCATCAATTCTCCGCGGTGGGAATTTTTCACTCACCGACATTATCGAAACGCGCTTCCTTTTATGCACTTGGAAATTATGACCCGATGGTTCCGTGACTTGTTCCCTTATTAAATCGTGTACGGTAAAAGGTATTTGCACTAACACACGTTCATAAACTTGTTATTAAACGTTGTTGCGCTATAAAGCGCAGCGATTTTTTAACGTTAACTGAGCGATAGAGTACAAATGAGAACCCATATATTGCGATAATGTGTCGTTTTATACGAAATTCTTTCGGGAATACATCGAAAGATGGAGGTTTTCACATCTTGTACGCAGCAATATGAATAAGATATGGCTTAACCAATTGAACGAGCAGTTCCGTTCCGGTTTCTTTAGACGGGTGTGCCTTTTATAGCTGTATCAAATTTGTTTAATTTCATACAACTATGAAAATTTTTAATACCAAAATGAAACGTTTTACTTTTTAAATAAAATACAAATCAAAATATTTTTTTCCATTTTTATGTAAAAGATAGACAAAATAAAAGAACACATCTTTTAACTTTTACAACATGCGTCACAGAAGAGAGGCCATTTATAGGCGAAACAGTGTGTTGTTTCCAAACACGGTAAAAATTTTGTGCCATCTTTAAAATTGTAATATAATTTCTGCACTGTAACCCTTTTTTTGGATCTTACGCCGAATTATATAGTATATAAATGATTTATGATGTAATAAACCTGCATGATACTGATTTATTACATAACGATACTAAATAGCGACCCGCCCCGGCTTTGCACGGGTGCAATGTATTATAACATGATATAAACCTTCCTGTTGAATCACTCTATCTAGAAAAACGCATCAGATCCATTGCGTAGTTTTAAATATCTAAGCATACGTAAAACAGACAGCGGGACGACTTTGTTTTATGCTATGTAGTGATAAATCATCTAAATAATAGATAAATAAAATAACTATGGAAATAATTGACAAAATCGAGACTAGATAGTGGCGCTTCGGTCGGTCCAGTTGTTTAAGCGGAAACTTAGCGAATCAAAAGCTTCACTGGAGTTACCGGAATGTTTGATCTGGCGGGGAAACTTCCTTGCAGATTCCAGACTCAGTTATTTAACATTTACAGTTACTTGATGTGTTTGGAGATTAGAAACAAACTAGACTATAACAATCTCAAGTCGATGGTATCGTCGTCTAATATTATTATATTAATATGTATTAGGTTAGTTTAATAAATTCAATGGGGCTTAAGGATTTTCGAACATTTAATTGGGTATTTTTGTCAATACTAAATTTCAAATGATGATTAAGTATTAATTAGTATTTATGATCTTTTTTAGCTTATTGCACCTACCACGATTTACCCCTAGATCTATTCTATTATTTACCCTAGATATATATTGAAATATCGAAATGAAAGTCGAGGCATCTCAGAAATTCTTAAACTATTTTTCCATTTCAGCTATTCCTCTTAATAGAAATGGTAAAAGCCGTACGTTCATAAGATATAAATAACAAAGGCATTGTCGGCGGCCGTCTCGGCGGAACAGTCGTAAACGCGCCGTAACCACTGGAGCGTAACTAACGAGCATTGTCTTATTTTACCACAATAGGTCAATTTTCTTAAGACTTAAACCCGACGCACTCATAAATTAAAATTTAATATCTCATTATCTGCAAACTCTGCCACGCCCGATTCTACTCCTGCCGAAAAACTGGTAAAATTGTAGCCTGACAGACATGTTGTTAATTACTGTTTAGCTATACTATATACTATACACAATAATTATGAGTTGAAGTTGTCTTCCTTGTTTTATGTATTATGATTGTTATTTGTATTATGTATATTAATATTGTTATTATAAATATATATGTTTATTAAAAGTAGTCAAAACTATTTAGTTTCTTTATGCAGTGTTTTTGATCACATCAAACAAAAACATAATTAATAACACTAGTTAGTCATCCATTGGTTGAAATTCGAGCGTTATTCATTTAATATCAATTTGTATTAATAATATTATTTTAAATTTGTCAGTCTGATTAAAAAATTGAAAAATTCAATTTTCAGTCTCGATCTGTTTGTTATCATATTATTTTTTGAGATATTGGCCAGTGATGCTTAATAATAAAGAAGACGTAATTTGAGCGCCTCAGTTTCTGTGCGATAGTATCATATTTGTATATAATATCATTGATATTGACAGTATGATTGTTAACAATAATCAAGTGATGTTTAAATGTATAATCTTCGCGTAAGAAATCAGAATACATTAAGGTGTAATTTTATGAACGTGGAATTCATAACTGAAATTAGCATTGAAAACAGCGAAAAATTTTGTGAATGTTTTATATATAAATTTTTAAGTTTCATATTAACTGAAAGACACTACAAATTAAATTGAAATCGTTTTATGTTCCGTTTGCATATATTAATATGTCATCTTCGCAAAATAGAAATGCATTGCATTTATGAATTGATACAAAAAAGGCAGATAATTATTTTATTTATTAAATTACCATTTGGTGATTACAAGTATTAGATATTACGATCAGAACTATCAAACATCCTTTTCAATACGTATCTTTAATTAGTCTCAGAGATGCGATTTAAAGCGATGGTAATAAAGGCCGTAGTTATAGCAATCAAATGGTGCTCCCGGCGGGGTGATAAGCTCGCGTGACTCAATGTAGCTGGACGTAAGATGAGAGCTTTCTACTTTAATATGATTAAGAGGGCTCAGTTGTATAACACTAGTTGATACTATATTTTATCCATTAAGAAGTTGATTAACATAAGACTAGTAGAAGTATAAACTATCTTTTCCTCTACGTTTTAAATACTGTGCAAGTAAATGTATACAGATTCCTTTAAATTGTAAAATTTTCTACAAAATAAACCAAATTAAGTGTGAACAAGCAATAATTTTATACCATGGAGGTTGTAGTCACTATTCGAACTATATGTTTGATGAAGTGTTACATGATACTTAAGCCTAAATGCGAAAACATCGTCTAGGAAAGGCACCTAAGCAGCTTTTAACACCTCCCGTGAAAACGGAAGGAATTTAAATTTATCAAATTGCCCCCAATGTTATTTATGTGGTTTACTCACGAAAGTAAATTGTTACTCATACTTGCAACACAAACTTAAACCATTAAAATAAACTAAAAAGCTGACACTCTCAAAGTACACAAAAGCTTTCTTGTAATTCTATTTTTAAGTTTGTTAAATAAAATTATTCGTGTTAACTAACTAATTTTTTCGTGTTTAATTTTGAAATTAATACCTGACGTTTCGAATTCTTGACAAGTCTATGGTCACAGCACAGGCTGAGATTTTTTACGTCTATAGTGTCAATTTATTTGCTTCAATCTACGCAGTACGAGCTCATCGTGTCTTTATGCATGGATTTAATTTTACTAATTATTATATATATGCTGGTGTTAAAGTTCAACCTAATAGTTAGATTAGAGAGATAAATCTGTGTAGAAAATATTCGGAAACTAAAGAAAAACTTAAACGTGAAAAAATCCGTAAATTGCGTTTATTTATAAATAAATATTATTCGCGTTAACTAAAGCAATCATTGAATCTTGAAACGAATACTGTTTGCTCTATTATATTTCTGTTCTTGATTGCACTTACATATGTACATTTTATCATCGATCGTCATTCGTTGCAATAATTTAGTTAAAGCGGAATTGCGAATTCATTTCGCGAATGCAGTATGTACCTAATCATATGCAGGATATTGATAGCAATGGCTTCAGGATTTTAATTGCTTGGCGAAATGAAAATATTCAGTCAATTTTCCTATTGTTATTATTATGTCCATTTTCAGTCAATTTTCTCTAAATTATACCAAAATGTGCCTGTTGTGTTAACAAATGTTATAATTGACATTTAAGATGATTTTGACCATATAAGCAGTTAGTATTTTATACGGTTATATAATTCATAATATTTTTAAAAAATTAGTAAACTTGTATTTTTAATCTTAATTACCTTTTTATGATTAAAGTACTAAATGGGGTTCCCGAAAATCTTCAATTTTAAAGATAGCGCTTATTTGCTTAATAAGTACGAGTATGTGACGGGTAGGGTCTAATTCAATGTAACAATTATTTACACGATAGCAAAAAACTTACTTGAATCTCTTATCCAATAGTTGATCGATTTAGGTGACGACTCCACGTAGCACTCTAAAGTGACGTCAGTGCCCAGCGGTGCACCTAGCAGTTGATTGGGTACTTGTATGACGGGGTGAACTGTAGGAAAGCTTCATTTAAGTTTAATGTGCCTTCGAGACACATCACCCTCTTCATACGATACAAATGTTTTTCTCTATTAATTTATCTTCTCTTTTCGTAATAATTAGACGTCGTTATTAATATTTTAAAATAATGAAACAATGTAGAAGCATTGACTAGTGTTGCTTTTATATGAAAAAAAAAAATATTGAAGCAACAAGCCTGCCTGCAAGTCTCTCTTGGTAGAAAATAATTAAAAGGTACTACCGGCTTACGTTAAACAACACCATTAATAACAAGAAACATCCGAAACTTTCAGAGATAAACAAAAATAGCAAAGAGTTTGCTGCGGTCTAATTTTCTCTGTACAATTAGGTTTTTATTTATCCTCTTACTCCGGGAACAAAACCACAAAATGTTGGGATAAAAAGGAATGGATTACTTGACAAGGACATCATACGATTGCAATCAAAGCTAACGTGTCATTGAAATACTCATATTTTATATGACCGTGGGCAAAGAATTAGTTTGATGATTTATTCTATTATACGTACACTGGACCTTTATGACAATCCTCTTGCTGACAGAAGGTGGTACGCCATTGCTCGCAATGCATAAATATGCGCCCATTTCAGATCGTGAAATCTTGTTCAATGTTAGCACGGCCTCTTCGTACACTGACACTGGGAAAAAAATAATGCGTTATGAGCGTGTTGTTAAAAAAGAAATAAAAAATTTGAACAATCTCATTCCATTGTTCGAAATTTTCCCATACTTGCCTTTGGTTTTGCTTCCATTCGTATGCCTTATTATAATATCGTCACCATCTTCCCTTCGCCACATGACACGCGGCTCTGGTTGTCCTCGAGCTCGACATGACACACGGGCTGTTCCCCCTTCGGATACCATGACGTCACCAGACGTTTCCTCAAGAATAAAATCCGGAGGAATTACTACATCCAAATATGCCATCTGAGAGAGACAGTAATTTCCATTATTTCGTTGCTTATTTTTATGTAATTTTGCTTATAGGCTAGTTTCGCTTTAATTGGCTCAATGAATAGCAGTTACTCATTAGTACGGTAATTGAAGTGTAGCATGAAGCAATTTTTTGGAACACATTACGTCAAGGGGCGTCATGCCGCGACGACGGCGCCGTCGAAGCCTGCAGCTGCACTGTCGCCGTCGGGGATTTATGCCGTTATCAGACCCGAGTATAAATTACAGAGCAGCGTAATAATTTAGGAGCGCCATATACGTATCATTACCCGCTGCGTTGACCGTTTGCTTTCCGCTTGCGCGTTTTCGAATTTACTTTATTTGACCATCATATATTTGCCGTTTTAATTTTTTTTTCTTAATTTTTTGTGTTGCCCGTTTGCTCTCCGCTTGGAGTTGTTGAATTTCCTTTATTTGAATATCATATATTTGCCGTTTTAATTTCTTTTTCATAATTTGTTTCGCTAACTGTCATGAAGGCTTTATTTGATAGCATTTATTTAATGTTAAAGACGTTATATTTCAAAGCGAATTAGTAATTATTTGATCTCGTTGGTTACGACAAATATACTGAATGGTATCTCATTGATTTCATTCTAAATAACATTAAAAGTATAAAGCAAGTGAAAATAAGATGGATTCTAAATTTCGTTGGAAAACGTATGGAAACTACAGACTGATTCTTTGGGCTTGGATGATGAGCGAAACAACTGTAGTCTTTTCACCGATCGAAATGTCACACAATGGGTTTTATCTTCAAAGTTCTATTTTTGTAACTGTAGCTATATTTATTGGAATACCATTGGTGTACTCAGAGATATGTGTAGCACAGTACGCCAGTTGCAATTCGATATATATGTGGAACTTTTTTCCGATAATGCGAAGTGTTGGCTATGGCTCAGTTATTCTGGTTTTTTATAAAATAATCTATTTGATCATTTTGTCGTCTTGGTATTTGAATTACGCATTTCATGCATCTTTAGATCCGCCACCGTGGTTTAATTGCGACGAGTTCAACAATACGAAATGTATGGTCAAACGAGTCAATACATCTATTTTTCAACATTGTATAGAAACGCAAGTATTATTTGACGACGACTGCGGTATGAAAACAGCTAGCGGCTGCTTTTTTGACCAAGTAATCGGCAAACACAACACAAAGATGGGCAACTGCACGTTTCAATGGAAGTCAGTTATCATCAGTGCCTCGATTAGCTTCGTCTTGTTTATATTATTTTTAAAGAGAGTAAAATTCATTCAAATTACAACTAAAATACTAGTGGCTTATGTATGCTTCGTATCTTTCGTGTTATTTTGTGTTGCACTATCGGCCAGTGGCGCATGGTATGCGTCAAAAATAAATTTTCATGTAAGTGACTTTAACGTGCGTAGTTGTGCGCCTACTTCAAATCACGGTGTGCTATCTCTAGGAACGGGTTACGGTATCATAGCATTTTTAACCCAAGATGTCCCGTTTCGAAGTCCTGCGACTATGACCTCCATAGCAATTGCATTGTTTTCTGTATTTTTTTCTGTACTTTACTCACTTATTATCTACGCCGGTATTAAAAGTATGTCCTATTTTCACGGCGAGGAAGATTATGTGCTAGAAATAGGTGACAATTTGTTTTTCTCAATGTTCGCCTCGGTAACGGAAATAACGAGTTATTTTGATGAGAGGTCTGTGTGGAGTTTTCTTTGGTTTTCTGCAATATTTTTATGTTTGTTTACTAATATATGTATATTATTACATTATTTGCACGACTTACTTATAAGTAGCTTTGCATATGCAAAAAGACATAAAACTTGTTCCTGTGCTGTATTAATAACACTTATTTGTCTGTTTTCTTGTCCTCTATTCTGTTCAGACCTCATTGTAGCTTTTACCGATGCAACAGAAATTATTCAACTTATAAATTGCACTTTATTTTCGATTGCTTTATATTGGATTTATGGTTATAAAAATCATGAGATTGACATACTTTTTATGATTGGCGTCAAAGCAAGTTACTTTTGGAAAATAACATGGTGTATGAATCCAATTTTTCTAATGATACTCTTATATGTCCGAATCGATAAATTGAATGTTAAAACATATGATAATTCTTTAAAAATTAAAAGTTTAGAAGTAAAATGCAATGTACTCTTAACCTATGTTCTTCTTGGCTTATACTTTCTTATAATAATTATTGGTATTTTCTACGAGATCCGAAATGTAAAGAATTGTTCAAAGATACGAAATTTGTTCTATCCTACCAAAAGATGGGGGCCACGGGACCGAATTTTACTACGAAGTAGAAAAATGTTTGTTCCTGAAATTATGACGCGAGAATTTTTATACAGGCAAGTTAGAATTCATGGGTATTTAAAAAAAAATGCTATAAAAACATCAGAAGAATCCTGTGACAAATCTGGAAGTCTTTCCACTGAAAAGATAGAATGGAGCCCCTTGACTTCTAATTAAGACTGTATTATTTATACCTGGCTTTTCATTGGATCCGTATTAATCTGACACATATATTGCCCACGATCCTCCTCTTGGACGTTTTTAATGTGTAAATTCCAAACAGTTTGCCCGTTATGTGATACGCCGACTCTATGGTTATTGGTTATAACGTGAACATGTATTGCTTGTATAGCTTTCGTGTCAGCCTTTACCCATCCAACCTGTAAAGTGTGAATTATTTTAATAAATAATAGTTTTATACTTTAAATACGCTTGTTAATTTTATAAAAAATTATAATGTTTTTCGCATTTTAAATTTCGGAGGTTTCAATTGATTTCATGGTCAAGGGAAGAATTGAGATTTTTTTTGTTGTTAAAAAATTTGGTTAGTTTGCACTGTAGATATTTTTAACACAGAGTTCCTCGATGCTAGGATTAAATTATTTAATTAGGTTGTTTTTTTATGCATCATTAAAGCAGAAAACTTTGTGCGTTCCTTTCTCTTGTATAGGAACTTGGCCTTTTTATCCACTTGTGAACTAATTTATTAATCGCGTATGCAATAAATCTCTCTCCGTCTCTCTCTCTCTCTCTCTCTAAGATTTCTCAGAAATCTCTCAGAACAGTTTTTTTTTATTTATATTTATGACGACCTGATAATCTAGTTCAGATCGAAGATGTCCACATCTCTTGAAACTATGGATACCTAATTTATTGTTAATTTTAAACGACAAGAAAAAAAACTTACAAATTTTAGACTTGTCTATGAAAGAAAACAATCTTACTCTATAGCCACCGAGGTTTTGTACTAAACATCTGAATGTTGCATCACGGCCGAGGGTTACGGTTAAATTCGATAACGGCTCAGCAAATTCCGGTTGAAATGCTTGTCCTGTGTGAAATAAAAAAAAACTATAAGAATATGTATCTTAGACACAGTGCCAAATTGAAGTACAATGACTTACCTACGAGTTTTGAATCAAGTCGTAGGCAGAAAATAGCTAGCAAATATAGCCACCAAGGGTGCACCATATTTTCGGCCTCGCAGGACCCACAATGTCCTCACCAGTATAATAGGACATCCATTATAATCTGAAAATAAAAGCAATTATTACATCTTGAAACTATTTGATTCGAATTAACGTTGATGCAGCTCAGGATCGTGCTTCGGCCTATGTTTGGCAATGGACTCGAGCATACTGAAATGATGATGAAGACGATTGAGGACATGTTTTAGCTAATTATTCCAATTTTTCAATCGAAACGTGTTTGACATTAAACAGTACTTTAGCTAAATATTGACCTAAAAGCACAAAGCCGCTGTATTTGCTAACGCCCATGTAATTGTAAGGCGTGCGTTCGATGGGAGAGTATACAAAGAGCTATTTGGGTTCGTGTGACATTTTTTTCCTATTCGATCAGTCAATAATGAGTCGGATCTGAGAGTGTATAAAAGACTATCTAAAAGGTTATATGGGGCCGGCGTCCGTAACACCGAGTGCCGAAAAGTCGATCGAGAATGTTTAGAAATGAGTACGGATGCGATCTCGCACCGGTAACTACTTTTCCGCGATAATGCTGGAGAAAAATGCGAAAGAGGTTCAGCCACGTCAATAGGAACATGTGATAATATCGAAAAGTTGAACATTCTTGAGACCGCAATGTTGCATGGTAAAGAGTTCATTGAATATGCTATCTCTTGTAGACTATGTGCGGATGCCAAACATAACTATAATAATGATATGCTAAGTTATCTAAAACTGATAGTGTAACTGGAAATAATTTAGGCCATAAACGGTATAAATATATATTTAGATGTAATTTATTGTTACACGACTGTAGCATGTATATAATATACATTATTGATTTTTTACATCATTACCATACATTATTATTAGATTTTTTAAGAGTATTTTTGATGAACGCAGTGGCGTTGCTTTGGTGGTCGAAAGAAGGATTTTAATTACTTCTGTACTTAGAGACACTAATTATATATTAAATATCTTTTAATTGTTTATTTGTCAAGTTATTAATAAACTATTAAGACTGATTTTTTTTTCCTTTTTTATGTCGTAATTTACTAAGCGCCGATTTTTAATTCAATCAACAAGTCTAAACAAATTGTAAATCACATGAAAAATAAATGCTGCTCGTATTCCTTAATTTATTAAAAGTACCTGGAAGGTCTAAATCGTGTTCTGTTTCGGGGCCCCCCGATTACCGACCGAGCTATTATAACATATTTTTTGGCGAAATTTACCGTCATATTCGAATGATATTTTTCATTCCCTGAAAACATACATAAAAAGACCTAATCTAAAAGTGAAACCTAGCAATTATATATATATATATATATATAGCAATTCTTATTTATTATAAATATTAGCAATTCTTGTATATATATATATATATACAAAAATTGCTAATATAATGTGTGCAAATAATTGATTGACATTCAAATATTAAGCATTAAATAACGCCAATATTTTAATACCAAAAGTGCTGTTCTTGGAACAATCAAAACAATGCAGAAAAAGTTTTTTTTTGAAAATACACTTTTTTATTCATTTAAATTGACAAATATGTCGAGAATATTAATGATAGATGTTTAGTTACTTACCTGTATGTAGTTTGGAACAATCAAAATCAACTTCTTAGTAAATAGTGGTAGGACCACGCAACTGTTTGCTGTTGCACGAATGGTCAGGTCTATCCGGGTTAGTACCACGACATCACAGAAGACCAGCGTGAAGTAGAAGTGTGCCAATTCTCCGTTTCGTCTGGGGAGTGAGTTGGCCGGGGCCCACTTTATTAAAAGGTGACAACGGATCTCAAATCAAATGACCATGGGCTTGGTCCATGGAGTTATCACTTAACATCAGGTGAACCGCCAGCTCGTTTCTCACTTTGTGACATTAAAAAAATAGATTTAATAAATGCAGCCATTGCAATGGATATACCGGTCTGTCCCATGATCAAGAACGTAAACGCGATAAAAAAAATATTTTCCATTATGAACACACTTGAAGTAATGAATTAAAATTTCCTTCCCATAGAACAGACCATAGTTACAAGATTGATAGCACACTGCCTTCGCACTACACTATATTATAATTTTTTTATGCTAAGAAATAATGTCAGATGCATGAGTTTCTTTCTTCATATTCTAATTTCATGACATAATGGACATTGTGATAAATTTACAAGATTTTTGGAAGGAGAACATTGTTTGAACTGTGGTAGGCCCACGCAGTAGCCTCATCTCAATCATTATCATCAATGGCAGGGAAGTGTCCCGGCGTCACAGAAGACCACCGTGATGTGGAAGTTTATACTTTCGCGTTTAGTCCGGGGCCCACTTTTTTATACGTTTATGGGGGAGTGGTAATCACTTAACATCAGTTGGCCCACTGGCTCGCTTTTCACATAAAAAAGATTGCTTTTGAATATATAAAATCAGCAACTTCAAAGGCGATACAAATAAATAAATTCTAGATCCAGATCTTAAAGTAAGAGTCTATACATGCTGGGCAAAGGTCTCCTCTGTACAGAGGGTATCAGGGCATAGTCTTTCACGTAACCCCACTGCGGATTGGTGGACTTCACATATCATCGAAACATTTTTTTAAAATTATTATTTCGAAAATATGCAGGTTTCCTTCAACGCTGAGCACGTGATAATTCAGCACTTCAAAATAACAATTTCTTTGGTGCCGGCACCGGGGATCGAACTAAGGTTGCTCGAGTTATATTGAATTCAACGCGAGCGCCCGGACTTTGAGCTATCACGGCTCATCTTAATGCAAAAGAAATAAGGTTTTTGGGACATCCGATTTCCCTTTTTATTACTAAATGAAATTGTTCGAACCTATTTTATACAAATCGATTAAAATTTCATAGTAAGCACCCTTATAGTGCGAAATAATTACAACAATCCCTTAGGATTACTTTCACATTCGGTTTGTTACTCAATGGAACATTTTTGCCTGATTTAAATTAAAAGATAGTTATGTGTTTAATTATTTCTTATTACAGTTATTAAATGGGCTATGCAAGTCCTTTCTGCTGCAATCTACGACGAGACATAGGTAAATAGAGGAGTTAAAAGAATTATTCGTATCTTATTTAGTCATTATCCAGCCAAAGGCTTTTGTTAGTGAAGACTGATACAGGCTGATAATGAGCTGCACATCCTTGCTGCGCTGTTTTTTTAGAACTACGTTTAATTTCCATGACAATACTAGGTCAATGTGGTAGAATATCAATGTTGCGAAGATATTTTATAAGACAAACTCGACCAGAGGCCACAGGTGTCGCTGCACGTTGCGTTTAATAAGAACTCATTTATTATTTTCCATTAATTCTAAGAAATCTCATTCACAGGCCAAGATTGCTATTATCATCATTGGAAAAGTGTCAAAACATTCAAGTTTTGTGTAAAAACTCATAATCTGACTTTGTGGTATTATTGTTACGAAACGCTTAGTTATGTTTATTTTTTATCATACAAAATACATGAAATACAACATAGTAATAAATTCCTTTCTAAATTATTGTCAATATTTAGTACCTACTTATTATGATTTTTAAAAATTTCGACAGTATCGGTTTCGTTTTAATTCACTCTATTTAAAAGAATTTGTGAAATATTTACATGCCAATGAGGCAAAATATGTCTTTACTTTATCCATACTAATATTATTAATTCGAAAGTAACTCTGTCTGTCTGTCTCGTTTTCACGCCAAAACTACTTAACCAATTTTAATGAATTTTGGTACACAGATAGTCTAGAGCCTGAGAAAGGACATAGGCTATTTTTTAATTGGAAAAAACTTTAAAGTATATTTTAAAGAAAGATATTTATTTAAGGGCTTCACCACGAGTGAAGCCGCGGGCGAAAAGCTAGTAATCTGTATTGGGAAACTTTATTTACCATATACCTGCAATTAATGATGATTTGATTTGGACATCGGTAAGAAAGACAGTAATCCTTCATTAACATATAAAGTACGTAAAGTGTATCTTAATTAAAATTTTTGTAATCAAACAAGCCAAGCCTATTATTTAGCTTTTATGAGGATGTCGTGTCTCATTCTATTCGAAACATTATTAATATTGAAAACGGAACTTAGTAATAAAATTAATGTTGAATATTCCCCAAAACTGTCTAAAATAAAAGAAAGCTGTAAGCCCAGAAACCTATCACCGGGAAAAAGACGTGGGGCGCGCGAGCAATTCAACGCCTTCCGATAATTAACACCGGATGTGTTAAACTCGTGCTTACTTTTACGGAAACAAATATTTGGGCGGTAATTCAATTTGGAGCGTGCTACAAGAGATTCTTGTTTCCTTACCGATTTGTTCAACTCTGCGATAAAAAAAAAAAAAAAAAACAAAACGCACGTAGTATCCGCGCTAAAGGCTCAAAGGCTCGTAAATGTAGGCTCGTACAAGAGAATATAATAAATTATCCATTTCGAAAAGTATGTCATCATGTCAACATACTACGGCATTAACTGAATTTATAAATAACGCATATTTTGAAAGCATATAAAGGAATTCTACAAGTTTAACTAATTATTGTTTAAAATAAGTAAAGTCTCTTAATTTATACTACATACATATATGAGGCAAAATAAAATAATGTTCATTCCATAATCTAATGTATAACGACATTTATGTAAAGAACCATAACATATAGTAAAATAATGATAAAATATAAAACATACAATCTGATGACCATTGAATATAGTACAACCAAACAAACTTATATTGAAGAACAAACAATCAACTATCCATATATTTAATTTAGAACTAAAAAATGATCATCAGATAAAACATAATGCGAACTCACCATGCGGACGATCACATTAAAAGTTATAGCAAATTTGTTACAATTATTTCTTCCATTGGTGATCTGCTACAGTCATCGGCTAATTAAGTTTAACATTAGTTTTAATAATTATTTTAATTAATGTTTACATGGATCGACAGCGGCGAAGTTTCGCGTTAGCGTTAACCGAACGTAGCAAGTTTCGGCTTGAGGAGAGAGCGCTACGGCATGCGGACGGCGTTGCCGGGGGCGCGCCACACACTGCGGCCGATTGCTCATTCAGTGCTCCGCTCTGTCGTTATTCTTACGCAGATGTCCGTATGATGGAGGCGGACATGGGGCCAGAAGAAATTCCAATTCGGGACCCGCCTTAGTAAGCGCAGTGCACCAGCCCCGGTGAATTGTTGCTTGAACGGAACGCTCGAACAGGATCTCGAGTGCATATGGTTTAGGACATGTGATTGTTTACAAATTAAACCGAAAAAGCCGTAAACTATCGTGACAAAAATATACAAGGTTTAATTTTTTATACCTGATCTATTCATTAAAAATTTTTACAGCGTGGTGTTTTATTATGCGAGAAAGCCAGATTTTGAAACCAAGCAATGTTTATTATTATACCAAATCCTGTCACCGTTGCAATTAATGAAAGATAATAAAACCAATATAATAATCTAGTCCTTTTTAAACTGCTCTAAAGCAGCGTCTCGCCTTAAATTTTCTTAAAATGAAGATGAAATAATTAGCCGCTTTCCGCTAATTTCCAAAGTTATTAATTGTCAGCGTTATGAAAGAACCGTCATCTGCTTACCAACTAAAGTGGGAAAGTGGATCTTATTTCATACGAGTACTGAGCCTTCACATGAATAACCGTGAGCAAAAATTTCACTATCATTAGAAAAAAAAATATTGACATTATTAACTGCATATAACTGTGCTGAGTAAGTGGAATAAAGTTTAGGCATCGCCTCCTAAACTTTATTTTGTCCCTGTTTAGTAGAAAAAGCAAAGGTGTTGGAGTTTTAATTATGTGAAGAGTCTTGTTTTCTTTACTCTGTAGTACATGGTATGTAACAGTACTGTTACATATAATTCTAGCTTCCTTTTTAAAGTTTGTTTTAAATAAGCTAAGGATGTTCTCTATCATTTCCTCATGACATGACATGTGTATTTATGATAAACATATACATATTTATACTGTATGTTTCCGTCTTTATAATTGAATAATATTTAGTATTTCATAGTAAATACCCAGCGATAATATGATAATAATATCCTTTGCCTTGTTATTATAGCGGGGCATATATAATAGTGTATAATGTGATCTTGGTGCCAGGGTTGCGTCTTACTGATAATAACTCAATGTGTAATAGAGTTGCTCCTATATATAACTCTTATATTTTTAATATACGCAAAAAATGTAATTTAATGGTAATGTAATTTGTGCATTCAGTTTATGAAGTTAATGACTGCATTTTTTTGTAAATAGTTGTTACAATAAAAAAACTTTGTTATTTTTTCTTTTAATTTCATTTAAAGAAATGACGAAATAATATTTTTATTAGAATTAAGTTACGTCTTTTTCTTCGGCTCCGGCGGAGCATTGTATTCCTCATGAAAATTACTTAAATAATTCCATGGCGACTCTAACCGGTACCGTCGCATTTCTTGTGCGTACTCTACTGGTTCATATACTAATTTCTTCAAACCGTCGTCATATCTTACTTCGGTGTAACCAACCAAAGGAAAATCTTTCCTGAGAGGATGACCCTTGAAGCCATAGTCTGTTAGAATTCTCCTGAGATCGGGATGATGGGTAAAGATTATACCGAACATATCGTAAATTTCTCGCTCATACCAGTTGCAAACTCTCCAAACATCATATGCCGAGCGCAACGGGGTTACTTCGTCAGTATAAGTTTTCACTCTGGCTCGCTCGCCGAATCTCAAACTGAGGATGTTGTAAACAACTTCGAACCTGTACACTCTACTGGGAACGTCGATGGCCGTTGCTGAAGAACATTGATTGAAGCAGGCGTGTTGGTGGTGGCTCATGAAACTAAGAACGGGAAAGAGGCCTTCCGGTGCCACTAGTATCTCCAATTCGTCATTGTGCTGCATTTGAATTTTTTGCACAAATTTTGGCAGACACGTCGCAACGTACATGCCGAATTCATAAAGGGCTTGACGTTTACAGTTATCGTGTTTTCTTAGAGTGCGACTTTTGCATTCGATAGGCTGTAAAGCAAATGGATTTACCTCCTTAACTTCTTTACACAATTTTAGGTTCGATGTATGGAAACTGTTATTAATAGCGGACACAAAAAAACTTTTACATATTTTGGAAATTAAGACATTCATGATTATATGATATTACTATGTATATTTGACTTAGCGACAAGTTGTCAAATTAAAGCGCTGACGGATTGAAAGCTTTTTTCTTATGAGAATCGTATATATGCCAGTTCTCATAATAAAACATAGCATCTAAGATCAATTTTCATTTTCGACTTTTTAAAAAGTGAATATGTGATTATTGTATCTTTTTTTTAATGATTAAAATAATGATTACTTAATAGTTATTATATTTAACTCTACTTAAGAAGCTTTCGATATTCAATAAATACATAAGACAATCAATACAGTTCAATTATTGTGTATTTTATAACATCTAACATTAAAAGGGTATGCTAGCGGGTAACATGAGGAACAAGGATTTTCTCTCTGTTCGGATAGAGTTTTCGAGAGGAAGTTTCGACGCGTGTCCCGCAAAAGACGCGCCTCGTGCTGTATAGATATTTAGAAATACGTTTGAGATAATACACAGAAACCATACGTCATACACATGAATGCTTTTAGAATGCGTAAACTTTTAAGCGTCATTTGTACTGTACGTAGTGAGTGAGTATAAATGATCTTTATGATTAAATAAAATGAAACTGTGTGCACAGAACATTTGGTTATAATTAACTGGATATATTTTTTAGCTTTTTTAGTTCGCAAATTTGTTTGAAAACATGCTTTATTATGTAAATAATAAAAAGCGGATGAACTATCCGCTTTTTATATATTTCAAAGCACTGCTCAGTCATTAATCAGTGCAGAGAGTTTATAGTTGTGCGTTCTACCTCGGATTAAGCCGGGCAGCCTGAATTACTCAGTGGCGGATAGTATCCCATGAAAATGTTGCCATTTATCTTTTACAGTCTCATACATAAAACAGAGAGCTCAACTCACTTGATTCAGTGTTTCCTACCATCCGACTCCAGATTGTGCGCCGCTACACCGCAACTTCCGACTTCCGGTGGCAACGCTGCGCTTGCGCTGTGCGTGGCAGCGACCGGAAGTGAATGCTAACCTTAAATAAATTAAACTTCGCATAATATAATCTAAAGGTTATATGTGCCTTTTATTGCTCAGTCACCAGTTGTGGTAGTGCTTATTGTTGTGCTTATTGGTGTGTAATACATTTTATTCTTTGAATAAATAAAATCCCTCTATTTCATTACAATCGAGCATTTCATGGAAAATCGTAAAAATACATTAAATGTAAACTAAAAAAGGATTAAATTAAAATTCATGTTTTCCTATCATCAAAGTTTGTGTTCTTAATTAATGACAGTAAAATAAACATCTTTATGAGAATTTCATTCAAACAGAAATTAATTGTTACAGTTCATTTCAACTACTTTTAAAAGCTGTAAAGAAAAGAACGAAAAGTGTTTAGTCTATTATCTACATTGTTTTTTTGAAATGTGGAAAAGCAATATAGATAAAATATGATGTTGAGATTTTCGTCGGTGTGGAAATCAGCCGTTAGTGGTAAAGGCGCGAATCTCGAAGACATGTGTCTCGAAGACATTCCCATAGCGGCGGACTTTTAGTTCTTTTTCTACAAATTTTAATGTTTCATCTTAAGTGCAGAGATTAGCACTATGCACAGTTAAAATGATAAATATGCAGTCTAAAATTACTTAGTGCTCTGATTTGATTAATAATTCATAATCTGATATTAATTTGGTTAACTTAAGTTAAAGTTCTCAAACAGATGTCTCACCTTGTAAGTAATAATATAATTTCATAATTATGGCTTTAAAAATAAAAATCATTTGCAAATAGAACAACTTTTTATTTTTTCGAGCAGATTATACTAGCTTTTCGCCCGCGGCTTCGATCGTGTTGAAGCCCTTACTTAAATATCTATATCCTATATCCTTTAAGACCCCTTTACAACCCTTATTCCAATAAAAATATAGCCTATGTCCTTTCTCAGGCTCTAGACTATCTGTGTGCCAAATTTCATTTAAATCGGTTCAGTAGTTTTGGCGTGAAAGCGAGACAGACAGATAGAATTACTTTCGTATTTATAATATTAGTATGGATTAACCGAATAAATAAAAAGTTGTTAATTATATACTAATAAAATATTATTTAATATTTATAATAAAAGGAAACGCCACTTTATTTGTTATTTCACTTATGTATATTTTAAATAACCGCAAGGTAAAGAATTATTTGAACTACATATTGAAATATCTCAAATTTAACTAAGAATTTGCCTTTTGTCATGTAAAATTACAAAACTTATTTTCCATGCAAGATCGCAAAATGCATAGCAGAATGTACCAAATATTTTAAAAATTCACGAAGAAATGAAACAATCGTAAGCAAGTACATCTTTTCACTAGGATTCTTCCTTTCCGGCCGCAATACCGAGAAAACAACGTCACTACCTTTACTAAAATGGACGTATGGTAGATATGAGTAAATGTTTAATTTTGGTACATTTGTACCCAAAATTAAACATTTACTCGTAGACTTTGAGTGCCTAATGATGGCCTTAGTAAACAAAGTATCCTTGACATTATAAAACTAATAAAAAGACGCAGGGTTGAATTCTGACAGCGGCGGGAAATTAAAATTTTTGAAGTTTTGGAGCGTTTGGAAAAAAATATGAGAATAAAATTTTTACGATGCGGAACACTGACACTCAAAACACACATCGACCGCCAAAAAGCGACATGATGAATTTTCCACTGTGGTGGGAACAACGAAGACTTTGCAACGCCTTGGCGATGTGCCCTGACTGGGATGCGGAGCGGAGTGTCTGGGTGGGCCACATTGTTCGAAATCTCGATCTGTCCGCAGTCATGTCGAAGATGATGAGAGGAGAAAAGCGTGGAGCGCCGTAGCGTCCTTCTGTGAGACTATAATGGTCCAGAAAGAGGCTGCTGAATGGGATTGAGAGAGAACAGATCGCACTCGGAGAAGAAGCCACCGACACTTCCATGCGCCTCGTCATGGCCCTCTTAATGGTAATGGTGCTCCCTTACCCGAAACGGGATCTCAGGGGTCATGAGCGATTGGGGCGAAGCACTTAATTGCCCAAGCTCTTGCAATGTAATTGTAAAGCTCTCATGGAGATCGGTGGCTTAATGTAGTCTCCATCGCTGGGGCCAGCGTGATACCGTCTATTATAGACAACCATAGAGGGGCCGCAGTATCGTTCCGTGACCCCTCATCAGAGCAGATGGCGACCACCGTGGGGTTTTAGTCGGTGCGAGTCCGACATAAATTGGTTTCCTCTCTAACCGGAGAGCCAGTTATCCATGACGGATATCCCCACGTAAAAAAAAGGTTTGTCTCCCAAATTTGTGGCGAAGAACTGTGTGTCTACAAAAATGATTTACGTGCGCTGGTGTGGGTACCTAGCAGTGATGTAGCGAATATTCGCATTCGCATTCGCGAATATTCGCATATTTTTGCATACTCGCATTCGCATTCGCGGAATATAGCGAATGTTTTTGCGTGTATAATTTTTTTAAGTAGGTAATTACTTATGATTTTTAATGCAATAAGAAGTAACTTAACCTCGTAATTACATTATCAATAAACTATATAAGTGGTACAATTTGACTAAATGGGCTAAATGCAATGTAATCAAACAAAAATAATCTTCTATGAGTTTTTATCAAAGTTTAATGTTATAATTATTTTCTTGAACAAAACTAAAAATAATAATCCACAAATACTTTTTTTTTAAACATTGCCTTCACTTTAGGGTAACATTATCCTGTATTGTAAGGGCGTTTTACAAACATAAATTGAACGAGGACAAACACCCAGATGCGAAACAATCTGTGGGTCACACAAATAGTTGTCTCGTGTGGGAATCGAACCCACGACCCCCGACGCCGAAGCCATTACCTTGGCATCTGACAACTTCTACAATTAATGCATACTTCTTTTCTCAGTCCTTAGATAAATTTTTAATATTTAGATAATCAAACAAACAATATATTCTTGTACAGTAGAACATTAAATAGTCTAACTCTAAACAAACAAAAAAAATAGATTCTCAAACAAAGGAGAGAAGCCCTTTAAAGAAATAACAGTTAATTATATATATATTTTTCATATTAATAATTGAACTTCCGTAGGGGAGTATTAAACTTTAAAAATATTCGTTTTGATGCCTTGTCTCCTTCTAGTCTGTTTCGAGGTGGCATGTAAATAAGTCCAGCTCCACTAAATATGCGCTTACTTGGGACACTCGTTGGTGATGTAACTAAATAAAGCCGAGCTACAGAACGTATCTTTCTTTCCACCAAGTTAAAGGGTCAACGTCATTTGCCACACGTTTTTCCGTTAAGTATTCTATGATCGTTTTACGGATTAAAAGGTGAACAGGAGTATTAACTCGGCTATTCTCGGAACGAAAAACACACGGAACACACTTCGTTCGAACGGGACTTTCGCTAAAGTCACCAAGCCATAGACAAATGGGACCAAAGTTAAACAAAAACTGAATATTCGCGAATGTCCAAAATATGACATTCGTTGCATCACTAGTACCTAGTACGTACGCCTAATGCGTCAAACACAGAATAAACAATAGCCTTCTGTGAGGTAAGAATTGTGCATCGACTGCACAGATTGAAATGTCTTAATCCTATTTAGAATATAGCGACAGATAAGACCACTTATTGTTTTTCGCGTTTGGTCGAATCAATATATTTGGGTCATATTACATTTTAAATTTATCTGCCTGATATTAATAAAAAACATTCATATTATTATTATAGAAAATATAATAGTTTTGTATATATTGGTACAAATAG